AATCATGTTTATAAACCCATATTTGTAATAATACCAAATATACTTCATTTTGATATAAAAAATCTCACTTATTGCATTCAAATAATCAATATCTTGAAAAATACCTTATGAGTAAAACTTGTCGCATCATATAAAAATTTATTCAACTTGTCGCATCAGAGCCTAGAGGCAAGACCAACCAGAGCCCTTCTAGTCTTACCAGCCAGAGGCAAGGCCAACTAGAGGAAAGGCCATGCGATAACAGTAACTCCTCGCACCATACTAGTGCGATAAACCAAATTTGTCGCATCTCATTGATGCGATAAATGTAACACTTTGAATCACAACCCAATTTCATTGCACCACCTTATGCGATATCATTCACACTTATCGCATCATATAAATGTGATAACAAAATCCCGTGATCAAAATATAACAATTTCCAAAATTTGATTATGTCACCCTTATCCCAATATACCCAGCTCCTGATTATGCTACCCTTATTAAAAAGATATACCCATCTCCTGATTATGCCACCCTTTATTACCAAAAATATACATCTCTTGATTATGCCACCTTTATTACAATCAGACGATAACATCATATCAAAACCTAAAATTTATGCTAACAATAGCATATACACATCATGTACCCACGTACGAAACCTTACGGTTTCTTTACTAAAAAATATAATAAAGAATGTTTTCAAAATAGAACTCACCTTAATTCACAAAGATGAAGACAAACAACAACAAATAATCATTATGGATCACAGATTCAACTTCTCCCTTCTCTTCTTTCTGGTCTCTCTTTCACGGTTCCAAAGAGCATACACACAGAAAAGCTCACTTTTTTTTTTCTCCACCAAAATTCAATGAGATAAGGTTAACATCTCATATATCCACCCATAAACAAATAAGAGGCGGTGGTGGGATTGTTTTTTAAATTATTAAAGCAAGTAAACACATTCAATCCCCTCAATTTACCCACTTTTTTTATGTTTTTACCTTCCCAATGAGATAAAACAAATCTCACATTTAACATGAATTAACAAATATGAGGCAATGAGAGTTAAAACATTTTAAGCACATTGACACTTTAAATCCCTCCACTTACCCTCACCTTTAAAAAACAACCTCAAACATTATAACCGAATAACCCGGTTATCACATTATCCACCCTCAAATAAATTCCGTCCCAGAATTCAGTCAATTAAATAATCGAGGATATTTTGATCTCATTTCTAATTCCAGTTCCCAAGTAGCTTCTGGACCCTTATGAAAACGCCACTGAACTTTCATGAGATTGATTTCTTTATTCCTTAAAACCCTTGTTTTCTGGTGAATGACAGCCTCAGGGGTTTCTACAAATTCAATTGAATATCAATCTGCACCTTAGGTAGCGGTACTGCCAAATTCGGATCAACCAAACACTTTTGCAAGTTAAAGACATGGAAAGTGTTATTAATCGAACTGAATTCCTCTAGTACTTCTAACTGATATGCTACTGAACCAAACCGTTTATAAATTCTGAACGACACAACATACCTTGGACTCAGCTTACCTATTTTCCAAAATCGAATAATACCATTCCACGGAGAAACCTTTAACATCACGAAATCTCCTACCAGAAATTCAATTGGTTTACGGCGCTTATTGGCGTAACTTTTTTTGTCAGTTTTGAGCTGTTTTAATTCGCTCAAGTATCTGATCTATCTTTTCAGAAGTTATCTGAACGATCTCTAGATCAGCCAACTACCTTTCCCCTACTTCATTCCAACACAACAGCATTCTGCACTTTCAGTCATACAAAATCTTATAAGGTGCTGTACGGATACTGGAATGGTGAATGTTGTTGTAAGCAAATTCGATCAAAGGCAGATGATTTTCCCAACATCTCTCGAAGTCAATAATACAACCCCTTATCATATCTTCAAGAATCTGATTTGTCCTTTCACTCTGCCCATCTGTTTGAGAATGATACATCGTACTTAATCTGATCTAAGATCTCATAGCTCTTTGAAAACTCTTCCAAAACTTTGAGGTAAATCTGTTGTCCTTATCTGTGATGATTGATAATGGAACACCATGACAAGTCACAATTTCTTCAATGTAAATCTTTGCCAATCTTTCTAAAGGATAATTTTTCTTAATTGGTAGAAAATGCGTAGATTTAGTTAAACGATCTACTATCATCCATATGGCATCATACTCTTTTGGAGTTCGCGATAACTTCATAATGAAATCTATTGTGATATGATCCCACTTCCACAAAGGAATTTCCAGAGACTGTAAATTTCCATATGGTCTTTGATGCTCAATGTTCACTTGTACACATGTCAAATACCGGTCTACATATCTTGTAATATCCTTCTTCAATTCTGACCACCAATAAAATGGTCTTAAATCTTTATACATTTTATTAGTACCTGGATAAATCGAGTATCGCGATCTGTGACTCTTATCTAAAATCAGCTCTCGGTTATTCCCGAAATGTGGTATCCAAATTCTACCTTGAAAACATAGAATTCCTTTATCATTCTTCGTCAATGTTGAAATTATTCCACCAACTCTTTCAGCCTTGAAATTTTCTTCTTTCACAGCTTCATTTTGACATCTTAAAATTTCATTATGAATGTCGGGAGTTAGGTTTGTTCTCAATAAAATTGCCTTAATTGTACCACTCTTTTTCTTCTGGCTAAGTGCGTCAACTACCATGTTGGCCTTCCTAGGGTGATAAAGAATCTCACAACCATAATCGTTTACGATTTCAATCCACCGTCTTTGCCGCATATTCAGTTTCTTCTGATTAAACAAATGTTGAAGGATTTTATGATCAGTGAAACTCTGATATTTAGTTCCCAACAAATAATGCCTTTAAATTTTTAATGCAAAAACAACAGTCGCGAGCTCCATGTCATGTGACGGGTACTGTTTCTCGTGATATTTTAACTGTCTGGAAGCGTAACCAATAACTTTCCCTCTCTGCATCAATACACATCCCAAACCCAGTTTTGAAGCACCATTATACACCACAAAATCTTCAGATCCATCCGGTAACGACAATATTGGAGCACTACATAGATGGTCTTTCAATAGTTGGAAGGCTTTACTCTGGTCTTCTTCTCATTCATACTTAACACTTTTCCTTGTTAACTTGGTCAACGGTGCAACAATACTTGAAAAGTCTTGAAAGAATTTTTGATAATATCTCACCAGACCCAAGAAACTACGAATCTGGTAGGGGTTCTCGGTACTTCCCATTTTTCAATAGCCTCGATTTTTGCAGGATCTACTTTTACCCCTGCCTCATAAACAATATGACCCAAGAACTAAACTTCCCTCGACCAGAACTTACACTTGTACAACTTGACATACAATTTCTCTTTCTTCAGAAGTTCGAGAATTAAACGAAGATACTCGGCATGCTCTGCTTCGAATCTTGAGTATATAAGAATATAATCGATAAATACAATAAAAAATTTATCAAGATATTCATTACATACCCGGTTCATTAAATCCATAAACGCTGCTGGAGCATTTGTTAGACCGAACGTCATGACCAAAAACTCATGATGTCCGTATCTGGTCCGAAACGTTGTTTTAGCAATGTCTTCGTGTCTGAATTTTAGCTGATACCCTGACCTTAAATTAATCTTGGAGAAATAACTTGCTCCAACTAATTGATCAAACAGATCATCGAGGCTATTGAAAAATACCTCAGAATATTCACAAACAACAGGAATAGACTATTGTTTACCCTTTTCTTTCTTTGAATCGACCACATAAGCTAGAAAACCGTGACACCCTTTCTGAATATATTTTCTAGCTTTCATGACAGAGATCAGATTGTTATGATGATCTCACCAATCACCATAAATCACAATCGGTCCTTTCCTCGGTAAATCAATACTCATCATCTTTTTATTGCACACAATACTAGCCTAATTCTCTGCTAACCAATCCATGCCTACTATAATATCAAACTCTCACATCGGTATTGGAAATAGTGAAGGTAACCCACACCCCTCAATTTCAATTTGACATTTTTTTAACAAACACGGGTAACAAATATTTGACAATTATTAGCAGTGTCAACTACTAAAGTATAGTCAAGAGGCACATAATTCACGTATAAACACCCGCAAATAAAGGTGATACAAATGAATAATTAGCACCAAGATCAAATAACACCTTAGCATATACGGAGTTGATAAGAAAGGTCCATGTTACCACATCAGGGGTTTCCTCTACCTCTCCTTTGGTCATATAAAAAGATCGACCCCTCGCCCTTCCTGAATCACCTCTTCGGATGTTGACTCCCCCACACATACTCGGAGTATTTCCCCTCATAGTCAATCTTGGAGTCTTTAACTAAGGACAGTTTGACTTCATATGGTCAAGAAAATCACACTGGTAGCAGCGTTGGGGCATCTGGAAATCTTTGGAGACATGCCCTGACTTTCCTCATTGAAAACAAACTCTCTGATTCATAATGGAATCACCTTGATGGACATGGTGACATCTTTGGCATGGTCTTTCATTAAATCGATGGGCAGGACGATTTTCTGTCTTTAGAAATTTTGGTCTTCTATATTCAGTTGAAGACCCTTCTCATTTTCTCTTCTCGGCCACCTTCTCCTGCCCCTGCCTGTTCTTGTTCCTTTCCGTTGTCTCTGCAGCATTTACTGCCAGTGGAAATGTAAAGGGATTCATAGCAATCACGAACTCTCATATCGAAGGCTTTACCCCATAGATGTATCTCTCGACCATATAAGATTCTGATGAAATATAGTGTTCTGCAAATCAAGAGTGTTCGATAAATTTTTTAGTGTACTCCCTTACCGTTTGGTTACTTTGTTCTAACTTTAAGAATTCTTCTTCTAGTTGTCTGACAGCCACTTTCGAACAGAACTACAACTCAAATCGGTCAACAAACTCCAACCATGACATTGTTTGTAAAAACATTGGGTCTTGCTAATGATTCAACATCCCACCAATATAGAGCATTTGACTTCAACATTGATACAAAAAATTTGACTTTATCTTCACATAAACACTTTCTAGTATTGAATACGGATTCTATCTCCCCAGCCAGCACATTGCCTTTACCGGATCTCTATCTCCAGAAAATGTTGGAGGTTTACAAGTTAAGAACATTTTAATATCACCCCCTAGTTCTTGTAGATTGAATCTACGGATTTATCTCAACTCTTTCTGTTTCTACTTTGGATGGTACTCCCAGAATAGATGTCAGAGTATTTCTCAACTTGCTCATTTCCTCTACTAATATGTCCATAGTAACATACTCAGGATGTTGTACAGGTTGTTGATTTACATTTTCCTGAATTGATTCACCATGATCTGGATGAATTTCAGGTTGATTAATCATTCCTCTCCCACGACCTCTTCCACAGCCTCTATCCCGACCTTTCCCTTTGCCTCTGCACCCTGGTAAATTTGTAGGAATATTTTTTGGCAAACTTTCCCTTTCCTCCTGGCTAATAAGGGCGATCCTTTCTGACCTTCGTGAATGACTGGACATCTGTAAATTTTCAATATTTAATATTTACATAATCACATTCCCAAATATAATAAGGTATTCAAGTACAAATATTTGCCTGTAAATTTGTAATTACATTGGCCAGTTGCAATTTGAATTTACCTTACATATCATTCTCTTAATCCATCATATTTATTCCAATGGTTCTACATATGTCAAGGATCCTTAATATGCGAGAGTCGAAGCACCAAAGGGAGAATTGGGAATTTTTCTGATAGGGGATAAGGGTGTTTTTCCTTGGCAATATTAAATTCGGGATTAAATATATGACGGGGTTACCCGATATTGTAATCATCGTTGATCAAAATCCATGTCAAAATTAGACGAATGGGGTTTTCTTTGTATGCATTTATTACAGTTTAAGTCTAGGCATCATGTTGAATACCTAAATCCTTTAAACTCAGGCTCTGATACCATACTTTTAACACCCCAATCAGAATTGCATATAAACATATATTTCATATATAAAGAAATACATTCGGTCCCAAATATAATAAGAGCTACGTTACAAAAGTAGCTACCAAATTTTTCTCACCATGTCACTATACAGAATTTGTATATATAACAAGTATTCAAAAATAACAAATAAGCATGTTATCCTCCACATCCCATGTAAGCATATAAGACTTTTCACAGTTTTCCTTTCCCTTTATCCTCTATATAGGCCCGACCTGTAATGCACATTTTTTAAACAAAAAATGAAGGTTAGACCTTAAGGTCTAGTGACAAATCTCTTTGATGCAATAACAGGGTGAAAATCACCAAATTATGTTTATAAACCCATATTTGTAATAATAACAAATATACATAAATTTGATATAACAAATCTCATTTACTGCATTCAAATACTCAATATCTTGAAAAATATCTTATGGGTAAAACTTGTCGCATCATATAGAAATTTATACAACTTGCCACATCAGAGCCCAGAGGCAAGACCAACAAGAGCCTCTCTGGTCAGCCAGAGGCAAGGACATGCGATAAAAGAATCCCATGATCAAAAGTTCATCATTTCCAAAATTTGATTATGCCACCCTTATCCCAATATACCCAGCTTTTGATTATGCCACCCTTATTACCAAAATTACCTATCTCTTGATTATGTCACATTTATTACAATCAGATGATAATAACATCGTATCAAAACTCAAAATTTATGCTAACAATAGCATGTACACATCATGTATCCATGTATGAAACCTTACGGATTATTTACTCAAAAACATAATAAAGAATGTTTTAAAAATAGAACTCACCTTAATTAACAGAGATGAAGACAAATAGCAGCAAATAATCAGATTATGAATCACATATTTCAGCTTATCCCTTCTCTTCTTTCTGCTCTCTCTTTCACGGTTCCAAAGAACACACACGCAGAAAAGCTCACTTTTCTTTTTCTCCACAAAAAATCAATAAGATAAGGTTAACATCTCATATATCCACCCATAAACAAATAAGAGGCGGTGGTGGGATTGTTTTTTAAATTATTAAAGCAAGTAAACACATTTAATCCTCTCAATTTACCCACTTTCTTTCTTTTAAGTTTTTACCTTCCCAATAAGATAAAGCAAATCTCACATTTAACATGAATTAACAAATATGAGGCAGTGGAAGTTTAAAACATTTTAAGCACATTGACATATTAAACCCCTCCACTTACCATGACCTTTCAAAAACCACCCCAAACATTATAACCGAATAACCCGGTTATCACAAAAACATAGCTATAAGCATATGCCTACATTATACATAAGCCACACATGGATTTACCTATTAGAAACTTGTCTTCCAAATGGGAATCCCAAACACATGCATTCCAGAACTGAAATCAAAAGGCAACTACTCTCAAACGTCTAGAAATACATCAACAATCTCGACTGAAAATCGAGTTGTTTTGACCCGTTTTTTCGTCAATTTGCACACATGTCTTAACAATAAAATAATGGCAACTATACCTACTAGAATTACACATAATTTAGGATTATATTTGAGAGGAAAATGAATTTGGAATCTATTGACTAGTTTAACGACCCCTGCTAATGCTGTTGTTTTTAGTCAAATCAGTGACTTTAGAGTCACCGAAACAACTTAGCTTCTACCTCAAAAAAAACCTAGAACTCACATCTTAATTACCAATCATATAATTTAGAGATTAGGGAATAATTACCTCAAAATGATGAGAATTCGATGAGACTACCTGAAATCATTGATCCTTTTCTCCCTCATCTTTCAAACAGTTTCTTTTTCACGAATTCTTAAGAGCACCCTTGGGATTGGAAAAAAGGTTTAAGGTGAGTTGGAACATGGATAGAAAACTTGATCGACAACCAAAGAACTTGAGAGATTCAACCCCATCAAAACTCAAACTTACACATGGGTTTTGCAAAATTAATCCCTCAAACTTAAACTATTTACAAAACTAACCCGACTGAATTTGAAAACCTTAAAAAATGAACATCACCATTTAGCATTATTTATTATTTTTTAAATTTTGCAATACTATGATATATATATATATATATATATATATAAAGGTATTTATGAAAAATATTGTAATTCTTCTCCCAAAAAGAAAAGATTTTGTCCTCGAAATCAAGCTAAAACATAAATACATAAAGGTAACACTTACATGTTTTGAAAGAGATGCATATATTATGAACGTAGAGATTCTTCATCTCTTATCCTCATGTTCCAGGTGATTTTTCTACAACAATTTGACAAACAGTCTTGTTTTCTTCCTCATAACTTTCTCCTGCTTGTCTAATATAGCTTCGGGTTCTTCTTTACACTAAAGTTCCTCATGGATTTTATCTAATGGATATTGCACCACATGCAATGGGTGATAACATTCCTCGAAAAACTGAAACCTGAAACAAATTAAGCACATGAGATAGCTAAAGTGGAAGAGCTAAATGATAAGAAATTTCTCCGACCCTTTCTAAGACCTCGAAGGGACCAATGTACTTTGGACTCAGTTTTATTTTAAACCAAACCGTTGAACACCTCAAAAAAGCGAAACCTTAAGGAACACATGATCACCATCTGAAATTCTATGGCTCTCCAATGACGATCTGTATAATTTTTGACGCGATTGAGTGTCTTTAACTTTTTATAACTTTTGAGTCGATTGAGTTTCTTTAAGTTTTTCTTTCGCCATTACCACCTTTTCATTAGTGACTCTTACAAAGTCCAACCCTTCAATAATAGTCTCACCAACCTCATTCCAACAACCGAATGTTCGACATCTCTAACCATAAAGAGCCTTGAATTGGGCGATATTAATGCTTGTTTGCCAATTATTATTATATGCAAACCTTACTAAACACATGTACTCATCCCAACTTCCATACCATTCAAAATCACATGATCTTAACATATCCTCCAAATTAGAATTGTCCTTTTGGATTGTCCATCCGTTCGGGGTGAAAACTCGTACTAAACTTAAGTCTGGTTTCCCAAACACTTTGAAAACCTTTCCAAAATCGTAAAGTAAATCGAGGGTTTTTTCAAATACTATAGATATTAGTGTGCCATGAAGCTTAATAATCTCTTGCTGAAAGAGTTTTAACAACTTAACAACTGAATACCCTTCATAAATAGGAAGAAAGTGAGCCGACTTAGTCAATCGGTCGATTAAAACCCAAACGACATTATTCTTCTTAAGTGTCTTTGGTAACACAGTTACAAAGTCCCTTGAGATATCCTCCCACTTCAAAACTGGGATTTTCAACGGTTGCAGGAATCTACTTGCTCGTTGACGCTCAATTTTGACTTTATGGAAAGTAAGACATCTCGCTACATCTTGCTTCATTCCATTCCAATAAAAGTTCTTCTTCAAATATCTATACATCTTTGTGGATCCGAGATGAATATAGAATGGCAAATTGAGAGCCTAATTCAATAGTGCCTCATGACACATAATCTATTTTTGAACCACATTACATCGTCCATATCGACCCAAAAATCGACTTTCTTACCATTGTCTATGTTTTGCAAAATGGTTCACAATTCTCTACCTTGCTTTTGGGCTTCTTTGATCTATAAAATTAGAGTGGGATCAACCATAATACTTGCTAGACACCCATCTAAATTCTTAGCATAAATCTCTACACCCATGTGTTCTAAATCTAGGACAATATGAGACTAAGTAGTAATTAGGCATGAGAATCTTCCTAAATTCTTCGAACTAAGAGTATTTGCCACCACGTTGGCTTTCTCGGGGTGGTACTAAATTCTTGCATCATAATCCTTGAGGAGTTTTAGCCAATGTCTTTGCCTAATATTAAGTTCCATATGAGTAAAGATGTATTTGAGGCACAAAGATAATGAGTTCAAATTTTCAAGACAACAATAATTGTTGCCATTCTATATCGTGAGTGGGGTAGTTCATTTTGTATGGATGAAGTTGTCTAAAGTAAGCAACAAATGTTTCATGCTACATTAATACACAACCGAGACCATTTTTGGAAGCATCACTATAGATTTGATATCCTCCTGACCCCGATGGTAAAATGAGCATGGGCATGAAACAAGCCTCTTTTTCAACTCTTCAAAGATTTTCTCTTGCTCGTCTTTCCATAGAAATTTCACACCTTTTCTCAACAATTGAGACAAAGGTAGTGTTACAGAGGAAAACATTTCTATAAATATCCTGTAATAGCCTACAAATCCCAAAAAGCTTCGAACTACGGTCACTATAGTAGGACTTGGCCAATTAGTCACGACCTCAACTTTTGTAGAATTCATGGTAATACCTTTAGCTGACACAACATACCCCAAAAATACCACCTGCTCAAGCCAAAATTTGCACTTAGAAAATTTTGCATACGATTGCTTGTCTCATAAAATTCCCAATATAATACATAAATAGTCTTCATGCTTCTTTTTTGACTTAGAAGATGCAAGTGTGTTATCAATAAGTATGATAACAAACTTGTCTAAGTACACATTGGATACTCAATTCACTAGGTCCATAAAAACAGCTGAAGCATGAGTCAAATCAAAAGGCATAACCAAAACTTATAATGTCTATATCGAGTATGGAACATAATCTTTAAAGCATCCTGGTCTTTTACCCTCAATTGATGGTAGCCTGACCTTAGATCTATCTTCGAGAAGTATTTTGCTCCTTGAAGCTGGTCGAACAAGTCATCAATACGTGGAAAAGGATATTTCTTTTTATGGTGACCGGTTTAATTCTCTATAATCAATACGTAGTTTCCTCAAGGAATAATACTGGAGCACCCCAAGGAGATACATTGCACTTATAAATCCACACTCTACAAGGCCTTGCAATTCCAATGGTCTCATTCTATAAGGTGCTTTCGAGATGGGTCCCGTACTAGGAATCAACTCTATAGCGAAATCTACCTCTCAAACTATTGGTACTCCTGGAAGTTCATCTGGAAATACATCAAGAAATTCTCTACCAACTGGTTAACTTTTAAGGGAACACTTTTCTGCAGAAGTATCTTTAACTGACGCTAGAAATGCTTGGCATTCGTGATAAAATATCTTTTGAGCTTTCACGACAGATATAATCTTCACACTTTTTTTTTGGTTGAGACCCTTGATACACAAAGTCAGGTTTCTCTTTATTGTCGAAAATACTTGCTTATCTTGGCATTCAATTGTTGCTCGATGCTTTGACAACTAGTCCATACCCAAAATAAGATCAAAATCATTCATACTAATAGGAAGCAAATTAACCTCATGAATTTGGTTTTCTACCTTTAAAGGAAACCCTTTAAATTCTCGAGATATAACCACTAAATTACCTAAGGTGTAGCAATAACTAAAGGCGAATCTGATAATGAATAAGGCGCTTAAAGATGACTAGAAAAATCAAGGATACTATGGAATAAGTTTCCCTCGAATCAAATAAAACATAAACATCATGTGCACCAATAGAGAGAATTCCTGAAACCATACCTTAATTTATTACCTGATTAGCTGATAAATCAAATACCCTGCCTTGGCTAGTTGCCTTAGTATTGTTTTCCCCTGTTGTTGCTACGAGGATTCTTGAAATCTTAAATATCCCTCCTGACCACACAAAAACAGGATCCCGAAGCCCTCTTACATATATTCCCAGGACAACATTTTCTACAAGAATTGTACTGAGGGACCGAATCATGATTCCCCTTTTCCAACTGACCTTTGAAAACAAGTTTGATTCTCCCTTCCCCTACTGAACTTATTGTTGATAAGGTTGTCTCTGACCCTGGTTCTAACCTTCCCACTTCCTTTGACATTTGTTACTATTTTGTCCCTACTGATTTCCATGATTACCTACCTGATGTTGATTTTTTTTCTGCGGCTATTGAATCTGTTGGTCGTCCCGACATCTTTTCTTACCACCCTCTAATGTGGATGCCAAAAAGGCCTGTCATTCCATCTTGATATTCTCTACTACATCTATTGCTTGTGGCACATCATTGAACTTCTTATTGATCAGTTTGGAATGGTACTTGAAATGAATTGCCCATTTAAAATTTTCATCCTACTCGGATGATGTCCCAGTCGACATCTCCATAAGCAGGTAAATATCAAGAACTTCGCCAAATACTCTCATATAGACACATCATCGTGTTGGCTAGTGGTGTTTGATGGGGGATGTTGAATATGCTTGAACTTGGTTATTGGTGTTTGATGGGGGGGGGGAACCCTATTGGTGTAATATGAACCATTCTAGGGGCATTGATGTAGCGTTTAAATTATGCGTATGGACATATTACTTATATTAATGCTTGACTCACTAGGCTCATTAGCATAAGACTTGTTCTTGGGGTCATGTATCTCAAGTTCTAGTGAGTATGCCGATAGAGAATGTTGATTGGGTGTTTAAGTTAATAGCATTTTGGGACGCCTTACTTGGATATAGCAAGCTTTCAGAAGTTTAGTGACACCTGATCAAAATCTATTTCTTGTATGAATTAGATTAAGAGGTTGTTAACCTTAAACTTGATTGTTTCTTTTGTATTAACTAGCATTGACTATTCGTTTTCTAGCAAGAATGTTGTGGTTGTGATTTATGTATTGGGTTTTTATAAGTTGTTATTTCCATATTCCTAAGGGTATACAAGTTGATAGAGCTCTACTAAATGAACTAGGTATAAACTTAGGACGTCTAGACTTAAGCTGATATACATGAATAGTCCCTTTGTTATTGTCCCACTAGTACCTCCGGTTTGATTTAGATTACCACCCCACGGTGTTTCTAAATTTGGTGGAGGTCCTCTAATAATGTAATATTGAGTTGCCCCAACTGCTTGGGACACTATTGCACAATCAATTTTAAACGGCCTGATTTAGAGCCACCAAAATAGTTGGGTCCACTTCACCCTTGTTTACGTTCAGATTAGAAGTCCTAGTGCCTCCCCTTGAAGTACAATTACTTCTATTAGCCACATGCTGAGATCGATGAGCCATCTTAAATTGAAAGAACAAAATTATCACATATACCGAATAGATAAAGACAACAAAGCTAATTCAAATAAATTTTTAACCCCATTTCTACCCGACACTCATAGGTCAAATTTGGTTTTCTAAGATCAAACCTAGGGTTTGGATACCACAATTGTAACACTCCCATTCCAATAGAAGTGAGGTTACTTCAAAACATAACAAAATTGTATATAAAGTCTCCAATAAATAATTAAAAACTACAAATAAGTAATTTCAAGTATCTCCCAACAATCAACTAATTCAAACATAAACCTTGACAAAAGCTAGTCTCAAATGAAATAAACCGAATACTAGTTATAGTGGTAATAAACCTCTCGAAATCGCTGGTAATCGAGAAACTGATTTACTCTCCTTCATGAAGTCTTAGGAACCCCCCAGATTACCTGACGTGAGGAAGGAAAAAGAAAACACGGCTGAGCCAAACGCCCAGTGCACAAATATATAAAAATATAACAAAAGTAGTTAATACAACAAGCAAAAATTGAACTTAAAGATATTAGACAATGCAAGTATTAACTCCTAATGAAATGACAAATAACGTAATATGATGAATGACTTAAGATGAGGCAAATCAAGCTCGAAAAACGCATGCACTTGCATATAATCCGATAGGACAAGTGTATTATATATAGCCACACTATAAGACACAAGCTTCAAAAAAAATTGCACTTTAGCTTACTTGAACTGTATCGTACTTAAGTGGCAATCAATGGTTATTGCAGAACAAAAACCGCCAAATGAATAAACTCTTCATAAATATTTAAGTAAAAACAACTTGTATCTATTAGGGTAAACTACCATCATCTTTAGCTCTTTCACCACCATCATTTCTATCTCTCTATGTGGTTGTTGTGCATAGTTAATTGGGTGGGAATGTGATCTTACAAGTCTGCATTCATACTTAGCATATGTTTTATCAAATGATGTTAAAACGTGTGTTTGTTTATGTATGGTGGTTTACAATGAATTTACCAGAGCTTTTGGTCTAACCCTCGTTTTCAAACTAAAATGTTTTCAGGCGAGTATCAGGTTGAGAACGCTAGCTTGGGAAAGGGTAAGTTGTAAACCTCGGGAAGAAGGTTTTTCGGTTACCGGTTTGCAAGTAGGAATGCAATTTACGTTTATTTTAAAAGCTCATGTTGTTAGACTTGGTAAGAATATCAGTTTCAATTAGATTTATTTATCTCGGTTGTGGATTTTGTAGAGATCTTGGGAAATTTCCGTTATGGATTTTCACGGATTGTATGTCGATTAATTGTTTGTTACTGAGGTGATCTTGGATTCCAATGGGTTACATTTAGGGGTTGTTTGGTTCAAGCTCGGAAATGGGAATGAAAGGAATGAAAATGAGAATGAATTAACATTTCCCAACCCTCCTAGTTTAACATGGAATGATAATTTAAGCTTCTGGAAGAATGAACCATTTATATTATATATAATCAAACATTTTTTTTTTCCATTTTCATTTATTACATCTTATTACCTCTAACCAAACATGATCCATTTGTAATCTTTGAACCTAATTCATCGGGGTTATTGACCTAAATAACCATAAGACAATAAGTCTTTTAAGATTTAGCCACCTCAAAGATTTTTTCACATTTTGTCCAGCATCCTATAAATCTGACATTGCAAGCCACTTTTTATTGTGGTTGCAAACATTTCAGTGTGGGGAAAGAAATTTGACTACGCCACAAAAATATTTTTTAAAACCATAAGTTGTCGTGCCGCAAGAGAACACAGCTTTCTATGCTACAAGGTAGGCCACTGCTTGCAGTTCCTCTTTATTGTTTGTTGAGAAGACGTTTGTGCTTTATAGGTTGCATGTTTTCTTAGTCTTTGTACACATCATGTAAATATTCCTTAGTCTTATTCCATTTTGTCTCAAACTTATACAAAAAAACATGGATTTTGAATTGAAAGTTAGATTGCACGTTTGTGTTGCAGAAATGTGGAAGAAGGTAAATGGAGTTTGAGAGTATGGTCTAGTTGATTTACCGCAAAGTGGGGTAATGTTAGACCCAAACATTACATATTGTCACATAAGTAACCAATCTCAAATATGTAATGTCCGGATCCAACATTACCTCACGATACGGTAAATTGATTGCACCATATTCTTACACTTCATTTAATTCTTTCCACGTTTCTCCAATACATACATGCAATATAACTTTTGGTCTTTCAAAATCTATGTATTTTTGTCTAAATTTGAGACCAAATCAAAGAAGACTAAGAAATCGCTACGTTATGTATACATGCAACCTATAAAGGAATGGAAGATGCAGCCTGCCTTACGATTTTAAAAAATATTTTTGCGGTACCGTAAAAAAACCCGCAAGATGCATTCCGGCTTGCGGTTTTAAAAAATATTTTTACGATAGCCTCAAAAACAATTTCCCACTATGAACATGTCAAAAATGTCTGCACCACAATAAAGATGGCTTGCGGTGACATAAAAATAAAAAGCTATTTTTTGATTGGGTCAGATAAGGGGTTGGGTTGGTCCTAACTCCTAATGCTCTCTTTTAATACATATATTCTAATATAAATTAATTTAGAAACATATGTTAATGGGTCGTTTAGCAAACGATTATCTAGATTAGCACTTATCAAGTTATATAGCCTTAATCGGTAAATATGGTAAGGATTAAGAATCTTACACGGTAAGACGAAGGTAATGACCGAGAGTCTTATCCGGTAAGTGCGGGCGACGGCTCTTACCCATTTAGCGTTTATCGGGTAAATTTTTTCATACAATGTCATTTTAATGAACTAAAATCTTACCCAGTAAGATAAATAGTAATGTTAAATTTAACCAGTAAGCGCTTTCCGAGTAAATGTTTAGGTAAACGGCCCCTAAAGGGTCGTTTAGCAAAAGCTTACTGGAAATAGTCACAACATTTACTTACCTTAGCATGTAACATTCTCTATCATCAAAATGTATTGTTGGTAACGTTTTTTACCCGATAAGTGATTACCGGGTAAGAGTCTTCTCACTTGCTTACCAGATAAGCAAGCGTCTTCTCACTCACGTATCGGGTAAGATTCTTGGTCCATTCTATGCTTCTTACCGGATGAGATTATCGGTCCTTAATATACTCTTCTTGTAGGGTAAATGACATCCAATAAGCGCTTACTCAGTAAACATTTGGTCAACAACCCCTAAGCATGTACAGTTTCTTTACCTCGATTATGTTTTTCTTACACAATGATTCTATTTCTATGTTATTACTTTTCAATTTTTATATATCTCTTTCATACACTTGTTATAAGTTAAAAGTCTTTACAGAAGCAAACGTTAACGTTCTCCGATCAACATCCACATACATCAAAATATATGACATATTTTCGATTTATTAAAAAATGATGATCAATTTCAAAAGATATAATTTTGTGAAACTTGAAGGAAAAAACAAAACTCAACCACATGGGTGGTGTTTGATTGGTTTGAGCTTGGCTCCAAAGGTCAAAAGTACCTGGAGCTTCCAGGTTCAAATCCAATAAGAAATAAAAATCTCTTTGTGGCCACGGAGGTTCAAATGCGGTGACTCCGGACTATCTGCAAAACAGATGGTCGTCCTAGGATTAATCGGATCGCATAGCATGTTGGATATCCAGGTTAATAAAAAAAACAAAAACCCAAATGTAAAACATGCACACAAGAATTTTGATGAAATAAAAGCAGCATTGCAAAGAGAAAGAAGTTCCCAACTCCATGCATACAAATCGAAAAACCAAATAACAAGAGAAGGCAAGAAAGCTGAGTTCACCTCACAGGTCAACTGAGTCAATACCCGAACCACAACTGCTCACCGCGGTTCGTTCTTGACTCAAACCCCAGTTCGTGAGATCGAACCCAGCCCCACCCCACTCTCCTCTTCCCTACAAAACAAAATCCACACCATCGGTCTAGTTCCAATGAAAAAAGAACACGAGATCGAAAACAGAAACAACCATAGATAGATCCCATCCATCTAGCTACTGATCTGCTGCATGCCTTCCTTGTTGATTAGAGTGCACCACCTCTTTGATCCCTTGAATGGTTCGAGAAATGAGATTGATCACGGTGTTGATCGACTCCATTGTGAGCTTGGATGATGGCAGATCGTTGACCAATATCTGGAAACCGACCGTCAGAAGGGACCCACCTTCGGATCCGGCTTTGGTAACGGGTGCACCTGATTCAGCCACACAGTCGGGCACTATGGCAAACCCCGATGGCAGGAGAGCCACACAGGATGAGTCGCCACCGTTCATCACAACAGTGATCGACTGTACATCCACAGCTGCATATACTATGAGCGATCCAGTCACATCTGTCGTACTTTCTTGAAGAACCAGCACCGTATTCTGATTTGCATTAGCACCCGTAGTCTTGTACATGCAAGAGGAAAACAAACCATTAGAAGTTGAATTATCATTTCCAAACCGACACTAAAACAAAATTGCATCTGAGACGCAAAATATGTCCAAATGTCATAATAGGCTGCTTTACAAGACTTAAAATTTATAGGATCAAACAATTGTATCTGTATGTCCTATATACAAGTGTTACAACATAATGTTATGACGTCTTTGGGCTTCTTAACAAGTTTTTTAAAACACTTTTGAAATAAAGTGTCCAATTAGCATTTTTGTAGAGTGTCACATCTTTTTATATGACATGTCATATTAATAAGACGTTTTACTTCAAAGTTTTCCAAAAGAACTTGTTAAGACGTCCAAAAGCGTCTTTTCAACTTCTTGCAACACGCTTATATAGGTGGCACAATTGTTTTATCGTTTATGCACAAGTCCTATTAAGCAGTCTATTAGAACACTGTTACTCCTCAAAATCAAATATTTATGGAAATTTATTGCAAATAAAGCATCAAAGACTTTTCTATATGTTGTACTCTTTTATAAACAATAAATGATCATCAAGACTTAGCATCAAATTCAACAAAAGAACAGACACTTATAAATAAATCCAGTTGACCTTAGAAGTCAAATATGTATAATTTTTTTTATTAACCTGGATATCCAACCCGTTATACGAGCCGACTAATCCCAGGTCGACCACCTGTTTTGCAGATAACCCGGAGTCACCACATTTGAACCTCCATGGCCACAAGGGGATTTTTATTCCTCCTTGGATTTGAACCTGAGACCTCCTGGTAATTTTGACCTTTGGAGCCAAGCTCAAACCAATCAGGCACCATCCTTGTGGTTAGAATTCAAATATGTATAATTTGCAACTATAGGTGGCTGCTTTTTAGTACCAACATATATAGAACATATGTTATATAAGGTTTTATTTGTTTATATCTTTGTTGATGAATATAACCTAAACCACATACGAGCTCGTAAACTAGTAAACGGTAAATGAAAGTTAAGTTCGTTATTACTCACATTGGCTCGTAGAAGGGAGATGGTGTTCGGATTGCCGAGATCTTGACCTTTGGAGAACCGAATCATGTTTTGCATTGCGCTGCCATGGGACAAGACGTCCCATTGGCTCCTCAGTTCTTCGTTTAGCATCAAAGCGAACAAGCTTTGATGTGGCATCGGCATCCAAACGGACATAGTAGCACTCAAAACCGCTCCAGAAGGATCTCCGGGATTATTCAAGCTCTTACGGATCATAATCTTAGCCGCTTCGGCAGCATTACCAATCACCTCCCACTTGTGACCACCAGTTGCACAAACCCCGGCACAAAAGTTAGCCGTCATCCGCTGTGCAAGGCTTGTTAAACTCCTTCGACCACCCGTAGATAGCACTGTTCACTCAAGAGAACGTATGATCAGTTTTTAAACACCTAGATATCAAAAGATCAAAACCGACACTAATTTGAACTCATAAGCTATTGGCCTTTTATGCCAACAATGATGAATCTTGGCAAGAAAGGCCAACTACAAATGCATAAAAATGCCCAACTCCCGGTTAAAGCCCGGCCTTTTTTGCTTACTGAAAACAAGCTTTGATAGAGTCATGTGCATCTATCTCTAAGGCCAACAGTTTACCGATAACTGATGGAGTAAAACATGCTATCGGGCTGATAATATGGAGATTCTAAGCATATCGGTATGAACCCACCTGGACTATCATCGATGGCAGCATCAGACGACATGATGGTTGCTACACACTCGCAATGCCTTTGAAGCGTAGAAATCCATTTTTGAGCACCGAAACCCAATCCTGATCTAAGCAGTGGACGATACTGATGGTGAACCACGCTCTCATCATATTCTGTATGTTCAATCCACATCACCTGCATAGATTAAACTTCAAGATTTACGATCATTCTCATTAAGCAACATTCTTAATTTGTTCGTCTTCAGTTCAAATCAAACCAAAACAAATGGAGAACGACGCCCAATCAATCGTTACGTGTGTGTTTAATGCTAAATCTTGAAGACCCGAACTGTTCATCAACTATTGGTACAGATTTCAAGATTTCGTTTCCATCCAAAAATCGCTTAAATTAAACCGAAAATGATAAAGAAATAACATGTTATTGATCATATTGTTTAGTTCTCGAAAGCCGAAACGATGCGAAAACAGACCACATCCAGGCCATACGTAGCCTCGTGGTTCATAAACAACAATGATAGACGGAGTGGTAAGTACGGAAGGCCAACAAATGCGCTATATAATATAACTCTAAGTCGCAAGAAACGAGGCTTATTTTCTTCAACTCTATCTATAGATATATAGTCAGATATGTATGTATAGGTTTACTAATATTCATTGGGATGGATAATTTCATGTAAAAGAATCAAGTAATATTATAAAATTGATGCCTCGATTTACAGAATTCCCATTTAAGGCTGCTAAACCAATCTACAATACAGTTAAAATTAGCACCAATATGTCTAAATGTGTTGATGTCATATAAAGCCGATATTGTTATAGTACGAACTCAGTATTTTCGACACAGAATTACAAGGTTTACAAAAGGTTTTACCTTCGAGTAGCCGTTGGGCATATCATGCACGATACAGCCGGAAGGAAGTCTCCTAGAAATAAATCCTTCCCTTCCAGCATCAACAGATAAATCGACCACCGCCCATACGCCCTCGGCTTGCTGCCTGCAGAATCGAAGAAACCGCACTTGACGAGCGGGTACTAAAGGCGAAACCAATTGAATCTCGGCTTGCATCTGTAAAAAGTTGGAATCTTGTTAGCAATTTTGGATTCTCAATTGCGATATTTGGGGACGAAAACGAAAAACGAAAGCTTACCAGTTGAACAACCCCGTTTCTTGAATCGCCGGTGCCACCAGAAATCACTTCGATTGTACTACTACTTCCGATAATACCAAGAAACATATCTTTCCATCGATTCTGTATAAAACAAACAATTTCGATCACAAAGGGTTAACATAAAGATCATTTATATAAGTTAATGAATATGAAAGATTGATTGATTGTCATACGGCATCGAGCAATGCCTCCACAAGAGCCAAGCTGTTGATCATCACCATGCCACTAGCCCTCGAAGCCTCGGATACGTATCCGTGTGGTTTCATCCCGAGACAAAGAGGAAAAGTCCTCACATACTCATCTAAATCGAGGACTTCACCCCCGCTTTCCATATTCCCAATCCAGAGTGGGCTATTAGCCTGCCCAAGTTTCATCAGTTCATCCATGGCACCTAAAGCAATCTCTAAAAACACATTCTTTTCATATGGGATATCGATACCCCCACCACCGCCGCCGCCACCACCAGCCGCCATCCCCATTCTTGAAGGCGACATTAACGGCAAAGCATTGGAGATCCCGTTGTTATAGTCAAGTCCCATGGGCAATCCCACATCCATTGGGTTTAGACCCCCATAACCATTCCTTCCAACAGCGAGTTCCAAGTTGGAATTCGCCATTCCGTGAGGCATTGAACCACTGAACGACGATAAAGGCCTGCCCAAAAACTTATTGGCGAGAATAGATATCCGGCTGAGCTCGTCTCTCAATCGGGCATTCTCAATCCTAAGATGGTGTTCGTCGATAGATATGTCTCCAAGAATCGCCTGCCCGCCACAATTATTGCAGACCGGAGCTCGTATTGCTTCTTTCATAGCTATATTCTCAATCCGCAGCTTATCATTTTCTTGTTTCAAAATTGCATTCTCATGGCGCTCCAGTTGGGTCTAATTAAACAAACAATATAATGTTAGTTTGAATCAAAGATCCCAAAATAGATGAATATCAATAAGCACTTAAGTGATAAACCTTCATTTGAGTTCTTCTGTTCTGAAACCAAAATTTGACTTGCTTGTTTTCCAAATTCAGCTTCTTTCCAAGAGCCAATCTTTCTTTCTCATCAGGGTGAGGATTATCTTTGAAAGAACTGTCACACAAAAACAAGATCATAATGCATCAAAATACCAAAATAAATACATTTTAAAGTAAACAAAAATAAAATAAAAATTACGCTTCAAGTTCTTGAATTTGGTAGGGAGTATGGCGATGATATTTCTGTCTCCTGCGAGAACTGGAAGAAGGGCCAGTTGGGACATCTTGTTCATCGCCAGATGCACCTTCTAAATTATCACTTCCACCAGACCTGCTTTCAGATCCATCTCCCCTAACCCTTCCAAGATTTCCTTCAAAGTTTTCCCCAATCAAACCAATTTCTCCAAGTCCTTCCATCTTGGGCTTCTGTCCAAATCATCAGAAAATATAATAATAATTAATACCCACAAAAAAAAGATAGAGAAAACACGCAAATATGAAGTTACAAAAAAGAAAACACAAACCCACTAAAAAAAGAATGCTAATAAAAAGGGAGAATGCATACTAAGGCAAGGGAGAGAGATTGTGAGTTGTAGATAGGTTGGGGAATAGTTGAAGTGATGAGATGTGGTTGAGAAATGGGAGCCCTATGCAATGGCATGTTGTTAAAAGAACCATCAGCAACCACCATTCTTGAATCCCCACCACCACCACCACCACCATAAAACCCCCCAAAACTCATCAAAGAGAAATGAACTAACCCTTTTTCTCTCTCTCAAAAAAAGGAACCAAATCTTTAACACACTATCAAATGTTTAGATTCAGTTTTCTCACAAACCCAAATCAAATGTGTATGTGTGTGGGGGTGTGTAAGTAACTCTAGTCTCTTAAATTCATTATTCAACAACCAAAAGCCACAAAAATTTAAGACTGCCCAAAGGGGTGGGTACAAGACAACCAAAACCCTTACTCCCTTGTGTTAATTCCCACTCTCAAAACCCTAGACTCTGACAGAGAAGAAAGAGAGAGAAGTTGACCGTTTAGCTGTCATCTGTGAAGATGGCCCCATTTAAATGTACGAAAATGAAAAATATATCACTTTTTCAATACAACCCGCAAGAAAAGAAAAGGGCTAAAAAGAGGTAAAAATTTCAAAGAATCAAATTTGACTTTTTGACACCTTGCAGATATAGAGAAAAAAAAAAAGGCCAGTTGACTCCCCTTTTCTCTCATGGAAAAACACCCACTCCAGTCCACAGAAAAGAAATATGAAATTAGAATCTTTTTATTGTTTTTTTAATCAACCTAAAAACAATAAAGTAATCAACAGAGCAGATAGATACAAAGTTCCAGATTCGTGGACCTCCCTCGAGTTTCTTTTATTTTCTTCTTTCTTGAGATCAGGGATACACAGTAAAACACCCAGAAATCACACACACACACACATCTGACTGAAAGCAGAAAACTGAAAAAGCTTCAAATCTATGGCGGATGGGGTTAGAGCTGACTTACACAGTGGCGGAGGAGGTTAATGAATCAGTGGCTGTTGGGAAGATAAGACTGATTTGGGATAATCAAGAATTAAAATTAAAATAAACCCTAAAAGAAAGATAAGAATGGCTGAAAACCGGATTGAATGGCACCCATAAACCTAGGTTTTGGAAGAGTGTGTGATTGGGATCTATAAATGGGATTTGAGGGGTAGGGGGCGCCTCTGGTTCGAGATGTCCGCCAACGTTGGATTTTCAAACGCGTGGGTGATGCGCGTGGTTTTTCATTTCTAATCCATATTTGGTATTTTTTCTTGCATATCATTATTGCAATTAAAATCATAAATAAATGTACAAGTGATCCCACGTATATTCGTTTAACTTTTCAAAATAATCATCACAAAAACCTTGTTATATATTTTTTAAAATTTCGTAATCATTTTTTTACTAATTTTGTAAGGATTATTTTAATATTAAATTATATTCCGTGTTAAATTATTGTTATTTTTTACTTTTCTTCCTAATTTGGTATTTGTATTCCTTTTTGCTAATTAACAAAAGATAAGATAATATTTTGATCGATTTTACCTACTAAGTATTTGTTTTCGTATGCGACTGATACGAGATGGGGTCGTTGTAGCATTCTTTTATTTCTTGGGGTTTTTATATACACATGTGCATTAATGAATAAAAAGACGTATGAGCATTTGTTGTTATTTGTCATTATGTGTTTATATGTGTATGGAGTTGTTTGGTTATGGCTTAATGGGGATGTATAGGTTGTATAGCTTATTCGGTAAGCCATACAAATATGTTCAGTGGTAGCGTAATCAACTTGGTTTATTCAGTCAGTTAGATGAGGGGTATTCTTTACATTTAACCCTAACTTTTTTATCCATATGCCCATCTTATATACGTGCTTCTAGACTCCTTAAAATGATTTCTTTCGATCAGCTAGATGAAGATTGCATCTTCCGACTCTCCTCCTCTCTTCTTCGACTCTCTTCCATGTCACCTCTACTCTGACGCTTCATTACATCCGCTCAACCATCTACATCTGCAATATAGTGGGTTTTTGAAGCCACCTCAACCCCTACAGCATTTAGGTCTACATTTTTCGATCTAGGTTAGCATCTGGGTCTAATAGAATGTAGGTCACTGATTTCAAGACTTTGAGACAAGTTAAGTCGTACATTGGATGTGATATTGATAGGTTGTACGATGGATGTTGAATCAATGAAAATGGCGATAACATTGTGTCTACTTTCTCCTTTGCTAACCATTCGAAGAAACATGTTATCTTATGCATTCACAAATTTATTACATTCATCAAAGATGGAATTAAAGCAAACTCGGAAGTTTTGAGATAATGATTTTCGTATGAGGCATTCGTATTTCTTGCATAAAAAGTTTTCAAGAATATGCTTTAAATGCTTGATTGAAATTGTTATGGTGGTGTACTTGGATGTGGAATCAATAGATACTGTTGTTATCTCTGTTAATTGTTCGTTTTGATTTAAAAGAACACTTAAATTGGTGTTTAATATAAACTGGATGTAAAATAGACAGTTCTATCATTCAGACTGTTTATTCAACATAATAACGAAAATACAACTTAATTAGCCTAATTAATACATGTAACTAAATTCATACGTGACTTGATGAAAAACCAACCGAATAACCCTAAGTGATTGTTCTCGCAGGCATTCAATATGTATGTATCAAGGGGTGTTCAGGTGTGTAAAATGAAACTAATTACTGCAACTTGAATAAGGAACTGAGATGATTATACGATTATGAATTTAAGTCAGGAATAGTAATATAATTTTATGTCTATTTTCAAAAATCATATTTACCGTAACAAATTTCTTCTGCTTCGACTATAGCTCCATTTATCATCGAAATCATAGTCAAACATGTTTCACATCCAAATACCTCCTTTAAAACATGAACGTGTGTAATGAACACTAAAGGCTTGAAAATATTCATATATGTTTGAATTAATAATAAATCGATCTCATCAATATCAATATCTTTATGCAAATAAATGTGCACATGAATAGATCACATTCGTACAAGAAAATATTTGATACTCAAATTAATTTTCCAAGGCATGCTAACATATGGCAGAGACTCACGTATTCGTATGCGTATGTGAGTGCGAGTGTGAGTGTCTGCGTGAGCGCGTGCATGAGGCATATGCACATATTTACGCGCCTCTATGTAACGATAAGATAACGTATCTAATTATGTGTACTTTTGTTTATGCCTATATGTAAAAATAAGATTCTTTTATTATTGTTAGTATGCACTTTTAACGGAATACGAACGATGAGAATATTTATATTCGATACAAATATTTACAATTATATACATGATGATAAAAAACCGAAATGTATCTGTTTATGTAATTAAAGAATGATGTACAAAATATAATTATTGTATGTATAACTTTTTTGCATATATCCTACAAAATAATCTAACTTAACACATAATTTTATAAAATTAACTGAGATAAATTATATCCATACTTCCTCCTAAAAAAATCCTACTCTTTTTCATACCCCTTTTACGCTAAAATACAAATAATTCTTAAAAACAATACGATATTATGATTCTTTTTTTAATTATTTTTAATCCTTTGATATTTCTGTATTACTCCAATTACTTTTCTATTTTTTGACTTTATACCTTAATTATATTAGTTAGTTAATAATGTATTAATTAAAATACGTGTTTTTCGTACTATAAATTTAATTAAAAAAATTAAGATTTAAAGAAATTAAAAATAACCTTTATGATTACTAATTTGCTATTTTAATAGCAACAAAAGAATTGGCTCATTTAATAATATCATTAGATCTATATTTATGATATTTAATACAACAAGAGAATTGTACAGAGATTATGCATTTATAATATTTAATAATACGATTAAATCCAAAAATATTAAATATTTCGCTCATTTTAAAGGTACTGACTATTTTCAATTCTTGTGAAACTGTAAACCGAAGGAGACGAAGAAGGAGAGAAAGATAGAAAAGAAAGAAATTGGGAGAAATGATATTTGTTACTTAAAAAACAATTACATACATGACTAGATTGTCACAATATGAACAATGAAGGTTTCTAAATGGGAACTTGAAACTCACATAATAATTGTTGTAACCAAACAATCTCACTCGCGGTTAAAGCTAAAGCTCTATACTCAACCTCTGCTGAAGATCTGGACACAGTTGATTGTCTTTTAGCCTTCCAAGAAACTAGCGACTCACCGATGAAGATGCAAAAACATGTGGTTGATCGTCTGGAATCTGGGCATGACCCCAATCTGCATTACAAAAGGCCTTGAGTTGAGCCTTTATTTGTAATGATCTGGTGGATGCAACAAACAAAAAACCTTGACCAAGACTTCCTTTAAGATAATGAAGAAGATGATGAACAGCTTTGACGTGAGCAACTCTCGGTTGAGACACAAATTGAGTTAATTTTTGTACAACAAAAATAATCTCAGACGTGGATAATGTAAGGTATAGAAGTCGACCCACCAGTTGTCAATAATGTGTGACATCGGTTAAAAAAACACCATCCTGATTGTTTAATAAAGCTTTAGGATCCATGGGAACTATCGTTAGCTTGGAATTCAAATACCCTGTATCTTCAAGTAACTGCAGAGTATATTGTCGTTAGGACATAACAATGCCCTCCTTTAACAGTGCAATTTCAAGACCTAGAAAATACTTAAGTTGTCCTAAATCTTTCAGCTTAAACTTGGTATGAAGCAAGCGTTTCAATTCCATAATAGGTTCCATAGAAGGATCGGTGATTATAATGTCATCGACATAAATAAGCACCGCAATGAAAGATGAATTCTGACCTTTATTGAACAAAAAGTAATTTGATTTAGATTGCAAATCCAAGTGAAATGAGAGTTTGTGAGAACTTCGAGTACCATTGACGAGAGGACTGCTTTATCCCATATAAAGACTTGTGAAGTTTGCAAACAAGCCTTCCATTCTCCCCTTGTTTGGAAAAATCCAGAGGCAAATCCATGTAAACCTCGTCAAATAAATTTCTGTTTAAAAATGCATTATTAAAATCGAGTTGTGCCAAATGCAAATTCTTTGTCGCAGCCAAGGCAAGGAGAACCTTTACGGTAACTAATTTGGCAACGGGAGAGAATATTTCAACAAAATCAAGTCCATCTTGTTGTGTATACTCTTTTGCTACCAAACGGGCTTTGTATCTCTCA